GTCTAATTATTTATAATTAGAGAAATGGAAACTTGTGATTTTGCAATGAGAACTTTCTAACGAAACTGGTTGTTGATTAATTGTTTTAATTACTACATTTGCTTCATGAACATAGATGTCGCCCTATCTCATACAGTTTTCCCAACAATGTTATTGTATTTTTGTTGTTGTTCTTGTTGTTACTGTTGTTGTTTGTCGTTGTTGTTGGATGCGGATTTGGGGGTGGGTTCTTCACGGAAAGTCAATTATTTTGAATGGGCAAACACAATTTATTCATATGCACGGCTTCTGCTATCCGAGTAATTCAGCAAATGCTTTCCATTGAACGAGTTAATTTCTAATTTAATTTGTTAATTAATTCCAAAGCGCGACACGGCGGGAGCTAATCGGTTCTATTGTGAAGAGAATTACATGTTGCCGCCACCGCCGCCGCCTCTGCTTCTCTCTCTCTCTCATTCACCCAACCCCCATCGCACCAGCACCACCACCGCCGCCTCCAATCCTCCCCCTCACACACACACATACAATCCGTTATCGGCTGTATTAGTGGGGGAACCCCCTCGGGGCGCGATTCTATAAAGAGAGAGAGAGTTAGATTCGAATTGCGTTGGGAATGAGTGAGAAAGAGATTGGACCCGAACGCCCCCGCATCAAACGCATACCAGACGAGAGAAGAGTGGAGAGAGAAACGGTCTTTATTAGTGAATTATTCAAATACTCTTTTCTCCTGTCACAAACACATCTCGAAATTTAATTAATTCCATCATAATAAATAATTGATATATGCATGTAGCGTTTTCGTATAATAAACCCGTAAAAAATGCGTTTCAACTACCCATTGTGACATAACAATTCGTCTTTCGGATGAATCATCCACGATCTTCTACCGTTTAAAACAAATTACACCAAATTATTTGAATATGTAACATGCAATAATATAGATTGAAATGTATTGAAAATACTAGAGTTTTTGTTGGAAAGTTACGAAAATCGCTATTATTTGAATATAACAATGTAAACATCATAAATTTACGATTTTTTTTTGTAAAGTTATGAAATTGAGTTTGTAGCAAAATAGATGGAAAAACATTGCTTAACATTAATGTTAATTAAGAAACAGTAAATATTTATAAAGAATATTGTAATATTGTTGCAAAACTGTAAATTTTCGTTTTTTTTTTTTCATTAAGTTACAAAATCCACTTTGTTACACGTATTTACATGTAAATGATTTGGATATATAAGATGTTAATTTTAAACTGTAATGAAATTAGTTAAGAAATTTACGTTTTTAGAACATGTTGATGGAAATTATTTGAAACTGTAACGTGTAGAAAATTTGCTAAATCTATTGAAAATGCTCAAGAAAAAGTTACGTTTTTAAATTGTTACGAAAATCATCAACAAACATTGTTGCAAAATTACAGTTTGTAAAGTTACAAAATGTATCTTATCACTTAAACATTCGACAAATTTACGTTTTTTCTTATAAAGTTACGAAAATCGCTATTATTTGAATATAAAAATGTAAACAAATTGCAAAATGAATCGAAAATACTTCATAAATTTACGATTTTTGTTTGTAAAGTTATGAAATTGAGTTTGTAGCAAAATAGATGGAAATGAATAATATTGAAAAACATTGCTTCAGTTTAATTATAAAGAATATTGTAATATTGTTGCAAAATTGTAAATTTTCGTTTTTCTTTTTCATTAAGTTATAAAATCCACTTTTGTTAGACATACGTACATGTAAATGATTTGGATATGTAAGATGTTAATTTTAAACTGTAATGAAATTAGTTAAGAAATTTGCGTTTTTAGAAAATATTGATGGAAATTATTTGAAACTGTAACATGTAGAAAATTTGCTAAATCTATTGAAAAGGTACGTTTTTAAGTTGTTACAAAAATCATCAACAAAATGTTGTTACAAAATGCATCTTATCACTTAAACATTCGACAAATTTACGTTTTTTCTTGTAAAGTTACTAAATTCACTTTGTTATATAAATTTACATGTACATTATTTTGGATAATTATAATACAATGTTGATTTTAAAATGTTGCTGAATTTAAGGAAAATTCTTGATTTGGAAATTACAAAATTTAACACTTTGTCACAAAAATTTACATGTAATATTGATTTTTAAACTGTTGCCAAATTTAATAAAAATTCTAGAGAAATTTGCGTATTTAGACAATTACAAAAATTCACTTGTAATTATTTGATGTAGCATGTAGAAAATGTTCTAAATCTATTGAAAATGCTCAAGAAAAGGTACGCTTTTAAGATGTTACAAAAAACATCAACAAACAACGTTGCAAAATCACACTTTTTGTAAAGTTACAAAATGTATCTTATCACTTAAACATTCCACAAATTTACGTTTTTTCTTGTAAAATTACTAAATTCACTTTGTCATACAAATTCACATGTATTATGTCATAATATTGATTTTTAAACTGTTGCCAAAATTAATAAAAATTCTAGAGAAAATTAAGTTTTTAGAAAATTACAAAAATTCACTTGTAATTATTTGATGTAACATGTAGAATAATTGCCAAATTGATTGAATATACTCGTATTAAAAATACTTGTGAATTTGTTATGTAAAGTTATGAAATTCAATTTGTCGCACTTGAAACTTTAATCTGCTCAATTACATTTCAAAAACTTATGATAACAATCGCATCTATACTAAGTTTGCTTAATTGACCTTTAGTTTTTATATATAATTGTGTCAAGGTTTTGTGCTAATTTTCTATTAAAAAATGTATACATTTTTCTTCTTCATTCGCAATAAAAAAAAAACACAATTCGTAAGAACTGTATAAATAAGATTTAATGAAATTTCCTATTGCATATCAATCTTGTTTTATATTAATTACTTTAATAACATGATATAATTAAATAATAAAGTAATTGGATTCGATACATTAAAAACTACACGAAAATCATGTGTGCTTAGATAAAAAAAAACAATGAATTTCAGGTTTCGGCTATGCATCAATATGTAACGCAGGAGCAACTAGCGTTGCCTATACTAAACCAGCGTTTCCGATCGCAGAATCCTTCCCGAAGGATGACTCAATGTTAACAGAATTTCACGCATCCTTAAGTGAATGAACAAAATATTCCCGATTCTATTAATAATACGTATTAACAAGACTATACATTTAACGTTTACAAAAGAAAGTGTATACACACAAAAATAATAATTATAATCTGTATAGCATTGGAACAAAATGAAAGGAAACTTAAAATGGATGCTCGTATTTATTATCTTTATAAATATTGTTTCAAGCGGCGGCGGCGGCTGCTGCAACGAGTTCAAGGTTACGAGCGCTTCTGAAAACGACGAAAACGAACATATTTATGTTGTTTCTTTTTCTGTTAATGTAAGGAACAGAGAGGCGAGTCAAGGATTTTAGTAATTCCAGGATCGAAATCTGCCTTTCGCATTTATGAAAGTTTCTAATCGCATGCGAAACGTGTATCCTGTTTCGGTTACGAGGTGTCACCACTAAATGGCAAACGCCCTCTCATCATCGTTACGCTTTTGTTACACCGACTGATTTTAACTGTCAATTCAATGTCACTTCTCACACCCTGTTGTGCAAGGATCAACAATTGAAATTAAGAGGAAAACAAAAATGTTATCTAATTGCATGAATGATTATGAATGTGTTTGTAATATGTGGAAAATGCTTATGAAAATTACGTTGACAGCTGTCAGATTAAAAAATAGATATGCAACTATTAATTAAGGAAATAATGAATAGTTGTATATTAAAATTGTATAAAAATGCATTCCAAAATAGTTTCTTTCTAAGTTAACCTAATTCTACATTTTGCTAACATGATGTAATGTAATTTATCCTAGTCAAACCTAATATACACCCCATTTAATTTAAACTAACCTAACCTACCCCATTTTATTTAAACTAAGCTAATTTCACCTAACCTATCCCATTTAAATTGAACTAAGCTAATCTTACTTAACCCACCCCATTTAACTTAAACATAATGACCTAACCCATTTTAAATAAATCTAACCTAATATTACCTAATTTAACCTAGTTTATATTAAACCAAACCTAATCTTACATAACCTAGATCATTTAGCTTAAGAAACGTAATATATTTTTTTTTATTCTATAAAAGTGAAAATCATTTAATTTATATTAAACTAACCTAATCTTACTTAAACCAAACCTAACCCATTTTATTTTAAAGTAACCTAATCTCACTTAATCCCCCACATTTAACATAAATTAATCTAACCCACCCCATTTAACTTAAATATAATGAATTTTGACCTAACCTAACCCATTTTAAATAAATCTAACCTAATATTACCTAATCTACCCCAGTTTATATTAAACTAAATCTAATCTTACCTAACCTAAACAATGTAAGCTTTAGAAACGTAAAATAAGCTTCTTTTATTATATGCAAGTGAAAATCTTACTTAACTTAAACCAAACCTAATCCATGTTAATTCAAAGAAACCTAATCTCACTTAATCCACCATATTTAACATAAACAAAGATAATTTTACCTAAGTTTAAATTAATCTAACCTAACTTATCTAACCTACCCCATTTAACTTAAATTAACTTAATCTTACATAACCTAGATAATTTAGCTTAGAGAACGTTAAATAACCTTTTTTATTGTATAAAATCTTCAGTAAATTAACTTAACCTAATCAAACCTTATGTAATCTATATTAATCTAACCCAAAGTAATCTAACCTAACTTTTTAGTTTATCAAAGCTTATCATTCATAAATAGAGAGAATGTTCCAGCTCTTTCTAATATTTTAATTTATATTCTGTATATTTTTTTAACATGAAATTATTTCAATTTCAGAAAATGTTCGAAACTTTTCCAACAATTCGTTTTACTATAAATATTTTGTTGTGAATGTTTGCAATTTTTCAATATTTCTGATGTACTAAATTTTTATGTTTTTCTGTTTGTTTGTTTGCAGGTGTGGTTTCAAAATAGAAGAGCGAAGTGGCGGAAAACCGAAAAGTGTTGGGGAAGGAGCACGATCATGGCGGAATACGGCCTTTACGGCGCGATGGTCAGGCATTCGTTGCCACTGCCGGAAACCATACTGAAAAGCGCCAAGGAAAACGAGAGTGTCGCCCCCTGGCTCTTAGGTAATGACTGTATGTCTTTTTCTAAATAATCGTACTTCTTAATAAACCTTAACTATCTAAAAAAAATCACTATCATCCAACACACAAAAAAAATACCAAAGAACTTCAAATATTTGTAATAGTTGCTACTTGTCAAGTAACATGTAAGAAATAAACTTTAGTAGTCGTGGTTAGGTAATCATGACTACTTGGCAAGTAATGTCAACTAAAATAACCAATAATTATACATATTCTATAATCAAATATTATAGTTGATTATAGAATATGTATAATCTTGTAATAATAATTACAAATTACACTTGTTACTTGCCAAATAACTTATACAATTAATTAGGGAATATGTTTTGTGGATACATAATTCAAAAATTTGCTTGTCAAGTATCGCGTAGTCATTGTATACATTAGAACAAGTATAAGAAAATTGAAATCATAAGGAACAAAGTAAATATTCATCATTGAATGTAAATGACCGAAAGGTAGGTAGGTTAGGTAATCATGACTACTTGGCAAGTATCGCGTAAAGAGTAATGTCAAATAAAATAACCAATAAAATACAAAATTTGATTATACAATATGTATAATTTTGTAATAATACTTACGAATTACACTTGTTACTTGCAAAATAAATTGTACAATTAATTAGGGAATATGTTTTGTGGATACATAATTCAAAAATTTACTTGTCAAGTATCACGTAGTGATTGTATACATTAAAACAAGTATAAGAAAATTGAAATCATAAGGAACAAAGTAAATATTCATCATTGAATGTAAATGACCGAAAGGTAGGTAGGTTAGGTAATCATGACTATTTGGCAAGTATCGCGTAAAGAGTAATGTCAACTAAAATAACCAATAAACTATAAAATTTGATTATAAAATATGTATAATCTTGTAATAATACTTACAAATTACACTTGTTACTTGCCAAATAACGTGTACAATTAATTAGTGAATATGTTTTGTGGATACATAATTCAAAAATTTACTTGTCAAGTATCGCGTAGTGATTGTATACATTAAAAGAAGTATAAGAAAATTGAAATTATAAGAAACAAAGTAAATATTCATCACTAAATGTAAATGACCGAAAGGTAGGATCAAATAACTGTCCATAATTACAGTGCGTCGATGATTAATGTTAGTCGAAACAGTTTAGATTGAATTTAAAAGGTTTTTCTTTTTTTGTACGTTGCTTGATGTTAATAATGATTATACCGGACGTCTTACTCTGAGTCTACTTGCATACTTTTGATGAGGATAATGAGACTTGCCGATAGATTTCACTACTCACCGTGGAAAGAAAGATTAATTGCTGCAACTGTGCGTATCCGGATCATGATTAATGGAAATCTGTTTGTTATTTATACATAAACAAACAGTTTAAATATGAATAAAAGAAAAGAAAATAAGTGCAAAGAAGGAAAGTATTCAGTTATTTCGATGGAATTCAATATTGAGAACGGTTTAAAATTTGCATTGATTTCAATGGATTTTGTATTAAAGTTGCATTTCTAATCGTTTACATTCTTTAGATAAAGTCTACAGATTTGGTTTGAATCATATAGAGTTTATGCTTTTATCATATATAGAGATTATCTTTGCAGATAATTTACGTCACTTATCTACTGGCTTAGTTAATACGTTCAAATGAATTCAATAACATACATTTCAATCAATTTATTGCTTTTTTTTTATAAATGATTTCATAGAAACTTTAAGAAGATGTCCTTAATAACAACTGTATCATTCATAACAACCTCAAGATCATTGTTATTACATAATACATAACAACATTAAGGCGTCGTTAGAAACGAGGCACGAGTTATAGCAACCTTATTGTGTCCTTAGCAACGAGGGTAGTGATCTTATAAACCAAAATTATCGATCAATTTATTGCTTTTTTTTTATAAATGATTTCATAGATACTTTAAGAAGATGTCCTTAATAAGAACTGTATCATTCATAACAGCCACAAGATTAGTGTTATTACATAATACATAACAACCTTAAGGCGTCCTTAGAAACGAGGCACGAGTTATAGCAACCTTATTGTGTCCTTAGCAACGAGGGTAGTGATCTTATAAAACAAAATTATCGACAATTACATAACCTCAAAACTGACTTTATTTGGCACTTTACAACTATCAGAAAGGTTATAACAATATCAAGTTTTTCTTAAATACGAATATTTTGTCTATAATGTTTCTAATATTTATAAGTTTCGAGCACTCGATAATTGTATATAGCTAAGATGAATCTATATTAGGATTGTCTTTGTTTGTCCCAGTTTGTCCTAGATTCCAAACGTCATTGTCCTAATTTACCCTTTTCAAATATAGCAAATCTTATCTATAGCAATAAAAGATGTTTTTAGCTCTCATTAACAATTTTAAGGTTTCCTTATCAACCACATGAAATACTTGACAACTGTCAATGTAATCTTAGCAACATTAACGTATCTTCAAACTTCAGACATATTTTGCAGAAGAGGTTCGATTCTTAAGGAATCTCAAAAAATCAGAGTTCATCAAGTTGCCTTAAGGCGTCCTTGACAATCACAAGATATACTTGACATCTGTCAATATAAATTTTAAAACGACCTGAATAATGGTGACATTAGTCTATGACAACCAAACAGCGACATTGACAACTGTCATTCAAATGACGTCTATTGAAAATAAGTTACGATTTCATAGATAAGTCATCAGTAATAATTACCAACTAATATTATTGACAATTGTTCTTGATATCTGTCACTAATTATGAAAGCGTCAATCATCATCATTTGGAAAAATTCAGTTATGTCATTGATATTATAGCAACCTTGTTGAGTCTTCCATAATAACGAAGGTATCTAAAACAAACAATCAGTGTAATGTCATTGACAACTGTCATTGACAGCTGTCATTGTCAACTGTCATTGACAGCTGTCATTGACATTTCAGTAACCATTATTATTGTAACTGTTTTTATATCAACCTTAGCAATAGTGGGATCGTATCCATAACAACCAATAACTATAAACAAGAACTATCTAAATATAAACAGTAGTATTCAATGAATAAATCACTTAATTCGATATTATTATATAACTTGTTGTATGTAGTTATTAGATAACGAAATGTTCAGATTGTTAACAGTTTGTTGTATCTTTGTTGCAGGAATGCACAGGAAATCGATGGAGGCAGCGGAGCACCTGAAGGACGACAATTGTAACAGCAACAGCGACCACGAGGAGACGACCAGCATGAGAACAGAGGAAAGTGATACGAGCGCCACGTCGGGTCACCAGACCCAGCAGCTCTCGCCGTCGCACACCGTCAACCAGGTGAAGAAGGAGCACCAACAGCAGCAACAACACCAGCAGCAACAGCAACAACACCAGCAGTCGCAGCAACAGCAGCAGCAGACGTATCCCGAAGACCCGGAGGCCTTCAGGAACAATTCCATAGCCTGCCTGAGGGCAAAGGCGCAGGAGCACAGCGCGAAACTGCTCAATCACGGCCTAATGTTACATGCCCGGACCAGTGCGACGCAGCAGCAGGATGCCAACGCCAACAATCTGCACCATCAGGAAGTCAACAACTCCGACACCAACTCCAGTGTATTCTGATAAAAGGAAGACGCGCATTATTTATTATTATTATATTGTAATTATTGTAATTGTAACCATGACGATGACGACGAAACAAGGAAAAGACAAAACGAAACAAACTCACATACACACACTCGAATGCATTGTTTTGTTGTTTCCATTTGTTTCTTATTTTCCTCATGTATCTATTTTTTTTGTAATTTCACTATAAATTTCGTTTACTTGTTACAAACATCTTCCTTTGACTCAAATGACGAAGCTGTGCAATTTCTCACTGTCTTTTTTTTTTTTATAATTTTAACACGAAACGACAGCAAACGAAAGTGAAACGAACAAGAAAAATTATATAAATTTATAAAAAAAAAAATAATGGGACAAAGTTTTTTTTTTATATTGTTATTTTCCAAACAAAATATGCAACAACGACGCAAGGAGGTCTAAAAGAACAAAAAAAAAATAATAATCGATTGAATGTATTTATTTAATTATGTAATGTGTACAAATCTACATCGAATAATAAAGTTTAAAATGTAAAAAAAAAAATAATGAACGAAATCTCAAAGAGCAGAACGAAAAATATGGAAAGGAAATTTTTTTAATAAATAAATATAAAAATGAATAATAATGTCCTCGCAATGATGAAGAAGTAATATATTGTATAACGTTTTATTATATAAATATATTTATGTGCAATATTGATAATGATAGTGGGTAGATATTTATTGCTTGCAGAACTGCACGAAAACAACACACAACAACAACAATAATCGTGCGAGAAACAAAAACTAATGAAACTATGAAGTGATTTTTTTTTCTATTCAAACATTTTCGTTCGGTTTTTCAATATTTTGCGAATGGAACTGGTTATTTTCTTCGAAATATAAATATATAATATAAATTGATGATGATGATGATGATGACATGTATATTTTTGTATATAATATAATTTCCATTGTGCTGGTACATTATCATTACTACTACTCCTACTATTAACTAACTACTACGACTACTCACTACTACTATTATTGGTATATTTGTGTTCCATAGGTTGTTTCTTCCTGGGAGAGCTTTGGAGACGCAACGAACAAATGAAAAAATTGTAATATATTGTAAAATTTCAAATGACGTACTTATAAATATATATATAATAATAATAATTAATTAATTAACAAAAAAATAAATATATTTAATGATGAAGATGAATGAGAGAAACACACACACAACAAAACGAAATCACTCAAAACTTTGATTTGAATCTAATTTGTTTGTTTTCTTTGTTGTTTCGAATTATTATTATTTGTGTTTTTTCTTTTGTTTTTGATTTTTTTTTGAAGAGGAAAACAAAATCCTTTGTATTGAAGTGAAGAAGACAAGTATTATTTAGATAAAGTGCAAAAGGTAGATAATGATGTTAAATCTAGTATATATATATTATATATATATAGGATGTAGATAAAAGTAAGAACGTAATTATATTATGAATATATATATATATATAAAAAAAAATATGAAACGAAGAAGTCTGTGAAGGAAATTTTCGTCTTTTTTGTCAACTTTTATTTCATTTCTTTCTCAATTTCCTTCATTTTCCTTATCCGCAACCCAACGAAATACCCACACAAAACAAAGAAGAAAAAAACAATATTTATTATCGACGAACGAAAAGATATTGTGTAACATTCTGATGTCTGTAATAATAAAAGTATTTCATTAAAAAAAAACATGAATTATAATACAAAATGCAACCTACAGCTTTTCTTTTTGTTATGTGAATTTGTTGTTACTACACTCCATTTCCCCTGACTTTATTGTAATATAAACTAAATTTCACGAATTCTTTTAAAAAATGAACACAAAATTTATTAAGCAATTCCATTACATTTTAAGTAATATAAGTTATTCATGACAACTGTCATTGATGTCATAAAAATTCAATAGTCAATCAAAGGCGTCTATCTGTCACAATTGTCATTGTTGAATGTCATTAAGTTCCAAGAAATGTCAAAGCATTCTCAGCAAGTACAGGTTACATACACATAACACACAGTCATAGATTTTGTAGAAACAAATTATTGAGAACTGACATTTAAAACAACTGTCATTTAAGACAACTAACAACTTACATTTTAAACAATTGACAACTGATTACTGTGATAATTACAAATGTCATCGTTAACTTACATCATTAAATGTCCAGAAATCCTAAACCCTTTATTTTCATTATCCACAATTTATTTATGTCAATTGTTAATGATAGTCTTCGATGATAACAAAAGCTGTCTATAAAAATGACATTCATACTTTTGACATATTTTGCAAAAGAGGTTAGGTTCTTAAGGAATCTCAAAACATCAGATTTCATCAAGTTGCTTTAAGGAGTCCTTGACAATCACAAGATATACTTGACACCTGTCAATATAAATTTTAAAACGACCTGAATAATGGTGACATTAGTTTATGACAACCAAACAGCGACATTGACAACTGTCATTCAAATGACGTCTATTGAAAATAAGTTACGATTTCATAGATAAGTCATCAATAATGATAAAGGTATCTATAATTAATAAATAGTGTTAATATAATTGATAAAGGAGTCTGTAATTACCAACAACTATTATTGACAATTGTTCTTAATATCTGTTACTAATTATGAAATTCATTATCCACAATTTATTTAAGTCAATTGTTAATGATAGTCTTCGATGATAACAAAAGCCGTCTATAAAAATCAAACAAACAGCGTTGTCTATTTTACCACGTTACAAATGCCATTGACATCTGTCATATAGGACATTCATAATCACAATTGTCACAGTTGTCCTTATTAACCACAGCCCTTGTCTTTTGGTAACCACAATTTATTCATAGCAACTGTCTAAGTATCTTAGCAACCTTAATGAATCTTCCATAATAACGAAGGAATAAAAAACAATCATGATAACTGTCATCTTCAGCACTATTTCAATTTTCTTCAAAAATACTTTTGTTCATTATTTGTAAAATTTAATATTTAATAACATGAATCAATCAGTTTTTCATTGTTCAATACAAATGTATAAATATTTTTTCGTTATTGTAAAGAAAACTTTAATTCTGTTATTTACTTATCTTATCTGTGATTCATTGTAATGAATATTTAATTAAAATGAATTAATATGGAAGAAATTAAGGAAATAGTAAAAAATATTTTTGATTATTTTTCAAAATTTTATCAAACTTTAATATTTTCTATACTTTTCACAATGATTACTTTCCACTTACAATTTTGAAGAAATCTGTAAAATAATGAAGTTTTACAACGTTTCTCTTTGAAAATATACAAAATTGTAAACTTTCAACAATTTTCTGATTATGAAATACTTCTATTTTTACTAATATTATCAATTAATAGTAAAATTTATTGATGTTTTTCTTCTCTAATTTCTTTAAATTTTCACCTATTAAGACCAAAAGAAACATAAAAAACATTTTTAGTCTGATTTTGTGAAAACGAAAATACATAGACAAATAATTTCAATAATAATTGACTCAAATCATATGTTGTAACTGTAAAATGAATCAGCTTATTATTTTTTTTTTCAAATTTCTTGTCAATAAATGAAGAAAATCCTATTGAAATATTATAATTTCCATTTTGAAGAATTTAAATCGTTGTATCATAACTGTTAAGAATCCTGCGAGAACCAATAAAGGAAATCGTAAAAATAATCCATGACTAACGCGTTTTGTTTGCGAAATGAGTAATGTAATCTGCCAGAGAGTGCTGCGATACAATTCAAATGTCGCAAGGATATTAAAGGCAAGAAAATGCGTATTGACTATAACTAAATAATCATAATGAAATGATTGTCGGAAGCATCAAGAATGCTTGGAGTTTGAAGCCGTAAGAATGTTCAGTTTTTGGGAAAACAGATGACTAATCGCCTCCTTGATCTGATAATATCCGTCTGACCTGTGATCCTAAAAATGTTATCATCTTTGTTGCGACGTGTCGATGTTACTTAACGAGCGAAAGAAAGAAATGTTCGGTTTGTTGTTTCGCTCTGGAATCGATTGCGAAACGCTTTTCACCTCAAGGCTGTACCACTTCCATAAACACGTGCAATTAAACATCGCTGCAAAGGCGGCTATTTTGTCAACTGTAGCATACATTAAAACAAAAAACGCTCGAAGCTTATACGATTTTAAACATAGAAAACAAAATATTAAGAATGCTGTGAAATATAATATGTAAATACAACAAATTAATAAATTGTAAAAGTAAATTGACAAGTATTTTGACAATTTGTACAAGTACTTGTTGCATAAAGATAAAAAAAATGTCTACGTTAACTTATTCTCTAAATTAATATAGTTTTTCAAGCGTTTGCACGTGTATTACGAGATACTTGACAAGTTACTTGTCATATGCCGAGTATTAAATATGTGTCTATACGAAAGTTATGTAATGGAAATATAGAATCAAAAAGACATGTTTTAAAATAAATTGTTTTTTGTGTAATGAGAATTTGAGAGATCAGTGAACGTGTTTTATTGGAGCGAGTCGGTTTTACATGCGGATATCTTCATTTAATTAGCGTTTCGCGTGGCCAAAGGTAAATAGTCTCATTCATTATATGGATCATCGCGAGATTATTAACCGATCCTTCATGGATTTTCTGCAGGAAACGCGGAGCGATGCTCTTCTGCAAAACAGGTTTTTTGAATCTCCCGGTTCTCTTGAGCGGGGGAAAAACGGACTTCGTCCGGATCGAAGAAGCATCGAAGCATAACCAACATCGGCAACAAAAGAGGACGATTTACAACATTGTTGTTTCTTCTAATGTTTCCATTGTTTATTTTTGTTAACTGTTACTTGAAATGATTTCAATCATTTTAACATTAAACAAAACTTAAACAAAAATTAAATTATGAGTTACGGGAAATTTGTTGGTACCACAACTATATAATTAGATACGTTTTATTCCTTGGATTTCCAGCTTTAATATAAGTATTTATACATATCTGTAACTATTGAGAATTTTGAATAATTCATAAAAATGTAAATAGATTGAAAAATTCATTACTTCAAATTTGATAGTGAATTAGAGAAAATCTGTTGTTGCCACATATATAT